GTAAGGGATGCGATAAAAGTAGTAAAAATATGTCAATAAAACACTGGTTGCCAACAGTATTTTCCAAATTTTGGTATTCAAAATTAACAAAAAAAATAGCAAATAATAGGATATATATTCTATTATTAATGAATACATAGCAGGAACTCTGAATGTTACAGTATTTAAGCATAGCAAAATATAAAACAAGTGGTTGGAAAAGGCACATACTTTCTCCTGTTATTGTAAACAGCTATGTAATGAAGTATTGCATTTTCTGCGCTACTGAAATTTCAATTAGAATTACTCGATAACATCCAATTCAAACAAAGCTGTGATGTTTATCTGCATTCATTTTGATAGTCGGGAGCAGCAATCATTTCTATTATTGACAAATGAACAAACAGGAATACATTTGATTCATTCAGTATTCGTAGCAAATTATACAGAAAAGACCAACACACTGTTGCCAGCATAGCGTTGTCAAGCAACTATTGCTTGACGAATAATAACAAATCTTTGCAAAAGCATTTATTGCCATCTGTATTCAGATTACAACTTTTTTTATCGGTTAGTCATAATACATCATACACAGTTGATAAATAATTAATACTATAAGTGACCAATTAAATTACGAATATTCTACGATTTGTAATGGGAGTAAAACAAAAATAGCCCATTTTTATTTATGATAATTGCATATTTCTTGGATTTTTTTCATCAACTGCATCTTTTTATTTATATGACGGAGCATAAATTCCAGGATTTTGCCTAGAAGTGGGCTGAAACCAGACATTTCTTTGGAGCTAATTGAGCAAAGAGCTTAAATTTCAAAAGTTGCGCCTTCGAGAGGAAAAATGCATTTTTTCGAAAGACTTTGGAACGGACTTTAACTGCTTTCAAAGATGATAAGAAGATCGCGCCACCTCCCACGTGCCGCGCAGGCAACACTGAGCTTTGTAGCCATCTTCTCGGAAATCAGCTTTTTCCACACAAGACGTGGCAGAATCATTTTGTTGAAATATCAGAGCAGCCGAGCGGGTTGGCAACTGATCATCTCGCCAGTGTAGAAGCTAAGTAATACGCGCGTGTGGACTGCACTGAAGACTGTATTATTGCGTAAAGTTGGTATTACATTTCCGAAGCGTATTTGCGCGGGATCCCCGTGCGAATTTCATTTCACACAAGAATTACAAGCTGCAAGGAAAACGCTTTCCTTGCACCCGGACAAAGAAAACACAGAAAATTCTTCAATACTCAATGATTCTTACGCCAAGGTGAGGTAAGCATCTTTATTACTTTTCGTTTTAAGAATTTTCCCTTGTTTCAAGTTGTTGCCTTGTTGGAGGTTGTATGTGGTGTAACGGTTAGCGTATCGGACTGTTATACTCAAGTTCGCTGGTTCAAATAACTGTTTATATACAATAGAGACTATACAGAGCATCCAAAAGGAAAGTAATATTAATTTTAAGAAAGACATTTAGTGTTTTTATTTACCAGTTGGATTGTATAATTCCAAAGAACAAAAAGTATTGTACTTCATCTTCTGGGTCAATGACCCCCATCTCGATCTGGCTTTCGTCCAGTTTTCCTGATCCTCGAGCAAATTCTGAGATGGCCCCTTGTTTTGCTTCTGTACATAATTGTGACTTAAATTTAACTTCTCCCCTTCTCCCCATTCACACACATTTTGAACTGTTTTTGAGGTAAATAAATTAACTCGATCGATGCCGTGGATTTTTAAGGGCGAAAAATCCTTCGTACGCCTTCCTTCGGAGGGGAAGTGAAGCCGGCTGTCCGAAGTGAGCAGATTTACTGCATGTAAATGCAGTAAGCAACCAGTGTTGGATTCGAAAATAATTAACTCTCTCCTGTACCCGTTTTGGTTTGAATACCGATACAAAATACGGGTTGAACGCATATGCTTTTCGCTTGGTCGTCGTGCAGTGGCGCGTTGGCTTCGACTCTAATTTCTTGAATTTTTCTCATTCCCCTACGTTTGCAGACATATTTATAAAAGCCTGACCATTTACGTCTGCTCATCTAAAATAACTAAAAAAATACTAATTCATGCTGAATTTTCTTTTCTAATTCTTTGTAGTAATGTTTAAAAGTTATGTCAGCAACAATGCGATGTCTCCTATTAAATACCAGTTTAACTTTTATTCTTAAATGCCGTATCGACTGTTTAAAATATTCAGGATCAAGATTACTTTTCTTAAGAAACTACTTGGGAAACAGAAAACTACACAGCAAATAAAATGATGTAAGATTGAGCAAAAATAGAACATGTACATTATTTTTGCTATTTAGGCTGCACTTTCACAGAAGACCATAAAAGCACAACAGCAATAAGAAAGCGTATTACACTAGCAAAGAAGTCGTTTCTAAAATAAAATAAATTTGTTCACAATACAAAATTAAATTGGGATATTAGAAAAAAAATTCTGAAAAGTTATTTCTGGAGCGTCCTAATATACGGATATAAATGATGGACAATTTTACAAACGGACAGGAGTCGTTTAGAAGCTTGTGAGATGTGGATGTAGCGAAAAATACGAAGGTTTCCTGGACTGAAAAAAATTAAATAATGTAATTTTAGAAAATGTGAAGGAGAAGAGATCTCTACTAAAAACCATTTAGAACAGGAAAGCAAAATTCTTTGGAAACATTTTCAGACTCGGTATATTCTAATTGTATAGAAACAGTTGTGAAGCAAAAATATTTTACTTGATACTTAAACTTTTGTATTGAATTTAATCGTTTAATGTCATCTGACAAGGTGTTGTAAAAGAATATACGTGTATTGTATGTGAATATTTTGTAGTGAGTTGATATTGTCAGCTGATGAATATTATTACTACGTTGAGTGTTGTAGTTATAAACAACGCCATTTGTTGAAAATATATTTCCGCCCTTAAGTCATTTTTGACAAAAACCAATGATTCATATATCAAGAAAAAGGATGGTAAAATACCTAGATTAATAAAGAGAGGCTTACAATAATCACGTCAGGGGGATATGTTATTATTCGTACAATTATTTTTTGTAATCTAAAAGTCTGGGAGCTATAAGAAGCATTTCCCCAGAATATGCCATATCTCAGGTGGGAATGAACATTCGTGAAATATACACAAGCAGTATGGAGGCTAACAATTCGAAAGTACGCTGAAAGCGTAGCATAAAGAACTTAATTTAGTGTTTAATTCATTGAATTCAGGTCCCACGTTCGACTGAACTGAAAGACCTAAAAATGTTAGGGACAAACGGGGGAAAAGTTCAAACTTTAAAGCGCAATCATTTTCTTTACGTAAGAATAAAAATTGTTAATAAGCGATTGAAAACATTTGTCCGCTGAAACTAAAATCTTTCTTCATATCTCACGAAGCAAAATCTAACGATCACTCTGCCAATTGTTTCCTTGTGCGTTTCCCCTCGGTACTCTAAAACAATTGACAACGCTATTTTGGTACAGCTAACTTCAACGAACTGAAATTCGAAATTTGTTAGCGGCCACACGCGACATACTTTAATGCATTTAATGAAGACTAACCAATGGTTTGATTGATTCAAACCACGTCCGTCTGTGGTCGTTAGTGTGCGAGTGCGCGCGCGTGTGTGCGTGCGTTATACGCCGAGGTGGCAGTGATCTCCCGCGGATGGTGAGATCCGGCGCCGACCTGCAAGATGACATTTAGGGTATTCTCATCCACGAATGTGGGGCACCGCCCTAGCTGCGACAAGCTCTTTAACTCCCGACAAGTGTCCAATATGTGTGGTAATTTAGGTAGTAATTTATCGGGGCCCTTCAAATAATCCATTTCTAGCGCCTGTTTCCTGCAGTATTACAATACTTTTTCTTTACTACGTAAGTAAGTAGTATGGTAAGAAATTTGAAACTAGTAGTGTTCCAAGAACACCCATCACGATGTTACTATCGAAATTCAATTAGCTCCAAGAAAATGAGATCTGTGCCACTTCAAGCGTAATCCGAGAGGGGAAAAATGGAGACCTTTTAAGGCGTTTATTGTGGCAAGCAAAAAATAAATCACTGATCTTTTACTTTTGCAATGGTAATTTGCGAAATAAGGAGGGTTAACCGAACATTGAAACTACAGCAATAAAAAAAGGTACTTTTCGCCATTCGGAAAGAAAAAAAAATAAATGCAATTTAAAAAAAGCTATGAAAATTGCCGATATTTCACGCATAATTACGTGAAAATTACTCACTGTCGGAAAAATCAAACATTTCAATACGTATTACAGGAAGTATTTAATTCAGATAAATTTATTCCTTTTATATTGTAGTTGGAATTACGCGAATAAATGTTGAATTTTGAATTTTTGAAAATAAATTTCAACAAAAATTAGATCTATGAATCCTCCTTTGCTCTTTCCAAGAAAAAGAAATTAATCCAAAACAATTTGGGGCCATTTTTATAACATGTTGGAGGTTGATATGTACAATCAAAATTTTAGTTTAAAATCCAGGTTACGAGTTCAGGAAAATCCATGGAGGAATATCAACTTTTGTAAAAATTGAACAATTTAGGCGCTAGCATTGACCACAGACGAAAATACTTGCCGTAAATCAATTTTTCGGTATAAAGGATACACTATATAATGATTCTCACAATGTATTAAAGAAATAGCTGGACATCACGATTTATCCACTTTTTATTACTTTCTTTTAACTCCACAAATACGTCAAAGGTAAGAAAGTAATAATCGATGTTCATGGATACAGTGTTAATAAAGTTTGTTGAATATCGAATTAAATTGGAATAACTATTCTATAATCAGCTTGTTTCTCTCTGGTAAACGTTGGACCTTTATAAATTTGAAATAACTTCCAATTTTTGCGTTGTGAACATTTCACAAATTTTCCAACTAATTGGTGCCTGTGGAAAAAAAAATGTTCGAGGAGACCTGGGAACACTAACATGTCTGTGTAAGGAGGAGGAATGGTAAACAACACGTCTATGGTAAAAGAAGAATGGTAAACAACATGCGAAGTTTAAATACATGGACGAGTGAAGATATTTTATTAAAAATATTAATACAATAATTTTCAAGAAATTACACATTATAAAACCCTTTATAGGAATTTTGGGAAAAGGAGTACGAGTGGAAAAGGCGTACATTATCCTCTTCTGTACTAGCTCTCTGCAAGAGAGTAAAGAAGAGATTTCTAAAACAGTTTTACTCTTAAAATTAGCACGTCTTGTAAACCTAAATATGAAATACATTAAAGTTATGAGCCTGCTGGAAAATACATCTGGCAATTGTTATACTTTATGGTAATTGTGAATTGAATGTGGAATTGTGAAAATTTCAAGTTACTATAAACCCACTAATTTGCATTATGTTAAATTGTACAATTCAAATAAAGTGCTCACTAATTCGTATGCTTTGCATGGAGCTGTTAATTGTAACTGAGTGTGACCTCTACAAGCAAACTCAGTTTAACAATGAGGCACTTCTATTTTTACTTTCCGTGAATATTTTTTCTCGTAAAATCATTCATGGCTTTGTTTTCCCTACATTCTAAAACTACTCTTCTCTTCAAGTCACTGAACGTTTTCTTTGTATCAACAGATCGATGAAAATGCCAAACAACTCATTTCCAAAACAACTCGCATACTGGATTTGTAATACAAACACTTCAAAATAAGCGAACGCGAGATCGAATTCACGCAGGCTCCCGCTCCACAACTTTAAAGCTCTCCCAGGCCGGGGCGGAATATCCGCAGCGTGTGCGAAAAGTTCCGCGCTAGACGCGGCGACGAAATCCGCGGGACCGTCCGCACCGGAGAGTCAATTATGACAGCGGATGGCGACAGAAGTATTTCTTAACCGTGCAATCTTGTCAGATGCACTGGCGAGCTGAAAATATTAGACTAACGAAAATATTCGTCTTTGCCTCTGCTTCCACAGCGAAACACTAGCAGCAGTGGGAAAAGCGCGTTCCACCACGTTACAAAATCCGCCGGGGAATATACGCTGCCAATCCGCAGCCGCGACGCTTGCCTGCTCCGAAGGCAACACGTGACGAGAAACTTCCGGTGTGAACATTCCGCGTAGGCTGCGAATCTTCCGCGCCGGTCTGTATGAGCCTTTAGACAGCATTTGGCAGCCAGAGACTGCTGAGGTTGGCACTTTTGTATGTTTTCCTTCCTTTGTAAGCACGCCAATCCTCAGGGAAGTAATATTCCTAGGTTACAATACTTTTATTGCATGTGGAATTTAAGATTGTGTCTGACTCCCACTGATTTTAGCATGAAGAAATGTGCGATTGAGCGGGGGCAGCATATTGCTGTATCGTTATATAGGGCCTGTGACTTAGTTTAACTAAGAGTATAGATGTTTTTATCCGGTTTCTTAAATTACCGTCTTTTCAGCACATATCTTAACAAAATCTGTTTTCGTGAGCACAATTGAATCTTCTGTTGTCCTAGACAAAAATTAACTTAATTGAACTAGGTCAAAACTTAATAGTATGGCGAGTAAACTTAAAATAATATTTCTTTTTATATTAATTCTCTGAGCTATACGTTTTGAAGAGAGACTTACTAGATTTGGCGATTTTATGAAACAACTTCAATTTCAGAACATTTTCTTGGGATTGGAAAAGTTGCTTCAGGCGCCAATTACAACCCGTAAGTCCTGTTCATTGGTGTGGATGCTCTGAGAACTTTGTTGACGAACGTTTATTGCGAAGACGGTACAAGACGATAAAAAGAAACCCGTTCGAGCGGGACGTGTCTTCAGGTCACCATCGCGAGAGGGAGCGTACCTCCACTCTACCTACACTTTTCTAAAGCGAAGACCAGTATACGCAGGTCGAAGAGTTGCTTACCAATTAACTCTCAACGGTACGCCAAGTGCTAATACACAGAAAGGCAAAAGAAAAACCAATCTCTACCCAGCGAGTTCAGTGCCCTTGCATGTACCGTAAAATTTTCAAGAAAACAAACATTAGAACGCAATTCCACTCTAATAAAGCACTCTTCCACACATTTTAATAAGAATGGTTTCTTTGCCGTCTTAGGGTAAGTCCACTATGAGATTTTCGATTTTCATATTGGGAATCTGAACGCTAGATCTATAACAGTCCATAAATTAAAAAAATCAACAAAAATTACGGCTTAATCTAGTGGTCCTTAAAATACATAAAAGTTGCCGTTCACACTACCGAAGAAAGTCCTGTCCTGCTACTTTGAGACAGGTATACTAGAGCAAATCATTTCAATAAAACGCCTCTAGTGGGTTTGTAGACGCTAGATGGGTGGGTACCTTTGTCACAGTTACTACCAGCCGGGTCTCGAGGGGAGAGCTTTCTCCTAGCAAGATTTCCCCTTTGTTGATTTTGGGTGCCGGACGAAATGCAAATTTTGCCTCACCCTCGAAGCACTTCTTAGGGTTCATTCTGTTAACCGATTCTCACCGCCTAGGCAAGTTTAAGAATATTATCATTATGCCACAAATCTTTATTTTATCATACGTTTGTTAGATGTGGTAAATGATAAAATGTATTCACAGACTTAAATTGGCACAACCATGGATATTACTGCCTAGTGTGAGATGTAAGCAGTGGACGGTTTATTAAATTAATGAATTTTACATTTATCACAAGTTATAGCCTATTTATGCGTTCCCATACATTCTCACATACAATTTCAGTCGCCAGATGTGGGAAGAATTCAATAAAATCGCATATTTCTGAAGCACATTTGCCATGTTCGAAGTTGTTGCTTTTCCCGCCTCTGGCCACTTTTAGATGCCACTTGGGCGTAAGGGAATAACAAGGTTTGCCGCATTGAGTACTAAGTAGGATAACTGCGAAATACATGTAGACGACTAAACACGCAACTTACACAACCACGTAGCCTTCACTACCACAATTCTTCCAGATGATCAATTGAATTCGGTAAATAGGCTCCTCAAGCCTGCGCAATATAGTCTCATTACTATCACATTACTACAAGAAAAACTATAATATTTGAACCACAATTAGGCACTTCCTCTACTGGAGAGTTTTCTTAGACAAGCACAACGATAAATTAAAACACTTTGTTCAGAAAAGCGGTGAGGTGGAATTGCAGATGTACAGGTTCGCAATTGTCCAGCTATTTTAGCGGTAATGTGAGCTTCCCGTGTTGCTGTTCCGTGCCTCAACCTCATTTCTTCACTATCACACTTCATCACCAACATTAGTAAAAAAAAAAAAATTAAACCAGCGTCACATTTTGTCGTGTTCCGGGTATTTGCTGGCCAAGGAATAAACGCAAGCGTCCTTGACTAAGAGGTGCGGCGTCGCTGGTCGCCGTCGTCGACTTGTGGTTCCCCAAGCAGCCTGTGGATTGAAAGGCGCGCGTTGAGCGATCTTTGGGCGAGATGTGCGCTGTGCGACTGTTGAGCATACGGAAGTTTGCGAGCCAAGTGATGGGCGTTGAGGGAGTGCTGGGCGTTATGAGCGTGGAGGGCCTGTGTAGTCAGTTTGCCGTACTCGGCTCTGAGAGGGAGTTGCGGCTTCAGAGAGGGCTGGGCGCTGCAAACCTGTGGACAAGTGTGAAGATTTGGGGTTGGAAACAGAGGTTTTGTTACGTTTCGCATAATAAGCACCTATATGAAACAGTTTATATTATATCAATAGGCATGAGATACTTTGACACCAATGCAATCTTGTTATGATTTTTGACTCCGTTAATCTGTTTGTTGAAAACATTTCGATGCGTTTTTTACTGAACGGAGATGATTTTTGTTATGCGTAACTCTAAAAAAAAGTTAAAACTAAAGTGAAATTGAAATGAACAATTCAATGTAAAAATTTAGTGAAACACATGCACTAACTGTCGTGATACACCAGCAAATTCTCATGGATTGCCAGAACTCTTGTACCATTAAACAACAATCCTAGCATTTGTAGGAATACTCCAACAGCGAGGCTTCGCCCCCACCCAGGACAAGCTGTAACATTTGGGTGGGTGCGTGGGTGCAAATAAGGAGAGGCGATATGACAGAGAGGCAGGAAAGATAGCGTGCTATCCATATTTCGACCGTTAGGGTACCGCTCCGTTATTATTCTGGTGTGTGTCAGAGATCCCACGAAAAACTACCGATCAGAGCATAAAGTCCTATCGACTCGAAGTCGAAGCCCTTCCGATCAAAAGCCTCTTCAGTGATATCAGCTGATGCCATGCGCCACCTCACTTTGTGACAAACGGACAAGCAAAACGTAGATCGAGAGGGCACTCTACCTGCGTTTGTGGGGCCGCGTGGGCGTTGCTCGCTTGCTGGCTCTCCTGCTGAGCCTGCCGGGCCTGCCGCAGCAACATCGCCTGCT